AGAGGTGAGGGTCAAGGGATTCGGTAGTGGAAGATGAGAAGGGGTGAGGAAAGGGAGGAATGGGTGAGAGAAACAGGTGAGTGTGTATCGTGAGGTATAGACGGGTGGATTGAGGTGAGTTGAGGTGGGAGGCGAGGGAAAGGAAGGGACGAGGAGGAGTAGTAGGAAAGTGGTATACCAGATGAGGGAAAGGGAAGGAGGAAAGGAGAAGAAGAACAGGTGGAGGAGGAGGTAAAAGGGGAGAGGAGGAGAGAAGTGACAGAAAAGGAGGAAGTGGAGGGGAGGGGTAACAAGGAGGGAGGAGGAGGAAGAGGAGGTCAAAGAGGGAATAGAAGAAAAGGAAGTGGGATGGACGTATTTTCTGTCATATCTTTCATCCGACTCTCAAAGGTCCTGGTGAATGAGGCAGATCGTTTCTCTGGTCTGTTTTTATCTTGATTGACTCTTTTAGGCTGAGAGAGAGAGGGGGGAGGGGTTCTTAGGATGTTTGGTGTTAAAAAGATTCATGTATATATCAGACAGTCTTATCAACACCAAATTCGAAGGTTCTGTATTTATTTACGATGCTGCGTCTTCCTCACTTTCTATACACACTAAAAATATTCAGTAACTCTTTCTTGAACGTCGTCATAGGATTTTTTTTTTTTAGGACCACCACCACCACCATTACCATCAACTGCAGCATTTGTTGATTTCCTGAATGCAGTCGACACGATAAGCGATAACACACACGGGGAAAATGTTCGCGACTTCACACAATCCTTTCAGAGATGACTGACCCGATAGCATGTGTTTTTCATCAACTACAAGGAAGGCAGGCAGGCAATAGCTACCCAAGATATATCTGATTTCTTCCCAGTTATTTAAAAATTGGAAGGTGCAGCTGCCATACTCCCAAACTCCTATTGTTATGGTTGAATCTTTGGAGACGGATGCAGAACGTGATGCCAGAGCCAACAATTTAAACTTTGTAAAATTAAGTAGAAAATTCAGAGTTGTATCTTGAGGTGTTGAAGGACTAGAGGAAGACTTGAATGACTCTATTTACAAGGCTGAGGAGTGGGATAGATTGAGAAGGATAAATTTCCCCCCTGAGTACGACGGCTTGACCTGTAGAGTACAATATTTCATCTCTTGTGTACGATGTCTTATCCCCTTGAACATTATGGCTAATACCCTAGAGTACAATAACACGAACATAACCTAACCTAACCTAACCAAACCTAACCTAACCTCTTATTGACTACTTAATTTCAGCAGGTTCGTGTGTCAGCTGTGGCTCTATGTACAAGGACTGTTTAGAATATCCTTAGCCTATAGGCCCATGAAAAGAGAGAGAGAGAGAGAGAGTACAAACAATCAGAAGCTGCCGTGTACCCATCGAGTCGTCATTTTTATTTTTTTTAACGCTCAATAATGTCATAACTCCTGCTTTTAATTTAACAACTGTTGTATTTGTAAATCACTATTCGGTTTAAATGAATCATAAATCTGGTGTTTGGATATGGGAGGTAACATGGTATTCCCTGTAGTGAAATGTGATGATATGGTTAGGTTAGGTTTGGTTAGGTTTGGTTAGGTTAGGTTAGGTTTGGTTAGGTTAGGTTAGGTTTGGTTAGGTTAGGTTAGGTTAGGTTAGGTTTGGTTAGGTTAGATTCGTTTTTCATGCCAGTAATTCCAGGTTCGATTCCTAGTAGTTGTGAAAGGACTTGCTTTCCTCCTTGTACACTAACACTTGTACACGAACCCAAGTAGACGAACCCAAGTAGATGAACCTAAGTAGACGAACCCAAGTAGACGAACCCAAGTAGATGAACCTAAGTAGATGAACCCAAGTAGACGAACCCAAGTAGACGAACCCAAATTAGACGAACCTGCAAGTAGACGAACCCAACCCAAGTGGACGAACCTAAGTAGACGAACCCAAAGTAGACGAACCTAAGTAGACGAACCCAGAGTAGACGAACCCAGGAACACGAACCCAAGTACAAGTAGACCAAGTAGACGAACCTAGAGTACACGAACCTAGAGTACCCCAGTAGTGAGACAAACCCAGGAACACGAACCCAAAGTACACGAACTAAGTAGACTAGATGTGAGACGAACCCAAGTTAGAAACAGACGAACCTAAGTAGACGAACCCCCCATCTGGAGCAGACCTAAGTAGACGAACCGAACCTAAGTAGACCCAGACCTGAACGTAGACATAGACTAGACGAACCTAAGTAGACGAACCTAAGTAGACGAACCTAAGTAGACAGACTTGAAGTGAATTAAGTGGTGAACCCAAGTAGACGAACCCAAGTAGACGAACCTAAGAACGATAAATGGAGACCAGAGACAAGTGAGAACCTAGTGGAACCCAAGTAGATAGACAGACCTAAGTAGACGAACCTAGAGTAGCACGAACCTAAGTAGACGAACCTAAGTAGACGAACCCAAGTAGACGAACCTAAGTAGACGAACCTAAGACCTAAGTAGACGAACCCAAGTAGACGAACCTAAGTAGAACCTAAGTAGACGAACCTAAGTAGATGAACCTAAGTAGACGAACCTAAGTAGACGAACCTAAGTAGACGAACCCAAGTAGACGAACCTAAGTAGACGAACCTAAGTAGACGAACCTAAGTAGACGAACCTAAGTAGACGAACCTAAGTAGACGAACCTAAGTAGACGAACCTAAGTAGACGAACCTAAGTAGACGAACCTAAGTAGACGAACCCAAGTACACGAACCCAAGTAGACGAACCCAAGTACACGAACCCAAGTAGACGAACCCCTGTACACAGTATTAGGAGTATTCATCGACCAACCCTTGGGTACACTTAACATCCCATCAAGGTGGTGTGAGATGACTCGATACCTACTGAGTGATGTAAGCCTCTGCCTGCCCATCCTCTACCATAGCAAGAGAAGATATATTATGTATGATAGTAAATCCTTCATAACATTAGTATTCTATGTTCACTGTCATATATAAAGTAAAGTGAATAATCTAGCCTCGTCAGCGGATACAAAGTGGTGTTTCGTTTTCTTTGATCTGAGACAATTACTTCAACACACAACCGAGTCATTATGTGAGATGATAGTTATAGTGGTGTTTAGGTCTAGCCAGTCACGTTACTCCAACACTCCAACTGTCCGAAACTCCCAACTCATCCCAACTACCAAAATACAAAAAAAGTACAAAATATTACAAAACTATGAAATCAAACATCAACAAAGGATCACTCAACACTTATGAACTATCGCTATATAGAAGCTAATACAATAAGTGCTATAACAACAGTGTATAAATGGCTTCAATATACACACAGGTAATATCTAGCATAAGTGAATGTATTTAGACCTATGCTAATTAAACCATACACACGACCAAAAAAGTATCCATACACACAGGAGTCAATGATTTTCTAATTGATCACTACACCTTCACCACAACTTAACTACTAAATGACCTACGCTACATAATGTTTCGTAAGATTAATGTATTTTCTGAGTGTATATAATAATAGTACTTGTGGATATAACAGGAGATGTCGCTACCAAGTGATATGTGTACATTTTGCAATAACTATCGTCTGTGGTGTCAGATATTTTGGAGCGAAATGAGTACAGATAGATTTTTTCTTTATCGTGTGTATATAACTCGGTTCACCTGAAGTTTAACCACCCTAACACTAACCTAACCTAACTTAACCTAACCAAAAGCCTAATATAACATTACCATATATAACCTAACTTAACCAAAACTAACAAACCTAACCTGACCATATATAGTTTAACTTAATATAACCTAACCAAACATAACTAATATAACTTAACCATATACGAGTATAACCTAACCTAACCTAACCTAACCCCCTTACAAGACCCTCCCCTAACTCCTCATACCCCTTTACTACATCTCCCTGACCCTTCACACCCCTCCCTTTACTCTCCCTGACCGCTCCTAACCTCCCCTATATGACCCTACCTAACCCCTCACTTTTACCTCCTCCTCCTCCTCCTGTCATCTAATTCTGTTGCTTCTCCTTATCGTTTAACTTTCTTCTTCTTCTTCTCTCTCTCTCTCTCTCCTTTGCTCTACACGTCATTCATCCCCGAGATTCTTCCCCGCATCTGTATTTTCTTCCCTTAGTATTTATGTTCTATCTTCTTACTCTCATCTTCCCATGCCCTCTTCTGTTCCACTCATTCCCTGTTCCATCCTATTCCCCTCATTCCCCCTCTTACTGTAGAACACCTATGCTCAGTCGCCCTCCTCCCATCATTTCCCCTCAATATAATATCTATGCTCCATCCTCCCCATCTCCCCCCTTCTCTGGTGGTGGTGGGGGTGAGAGAGGGGAGAGGATCAGATAGCACTGACCTGGGACGCAGCTTGCAGACTCCAGTATCCAGTGATAAAAGCGTTTAACCCCTCTCGCATCGATTACTGATTAATACTGATCCCGGTGTTGTTGTGGATGATCTTCGGACTCAACCCTTAAGCTAACCTCCTTTCCCGACCTCTTCTTTTTTCTCCTTCCTCCTCGCCGCTGCCGACATAAAAAGGAAAAAGACCGGGAGTAAAAGAAGTAGTTCGGTAATAAGTAATTGATTACATGAAACTGTATGTTTGGCGTCTTTTTTGGAGGGTTCCAATTACAGCTGATGGTGACGGGGATGTTCTCCTGCTGACGAAGGGAGACCCACCACTACACTCACCCCCTCCTCCTCACCTTCACCTAATATTCAGCCAATAGTTAGACGTATAAAGTATCTAATCGCAGTAAAAATCTGGCTTGACGTGTTGTTTGCGAGCATTGTTCCATATTAGCGTGATCAGGCCGTTCGCCTGTGGAAAATGTTCGGCCACGCTGCCAACCGCGGGCGCCAACACCTGTGGAGGTTCCCATAGTTGAGGCCGACACCCGCGCCCACCAAACCTTTCCCACTGCAAACTGAACCAGTTTCCATGTGTTTCGTCTCTGGAAGATTTTATCTATTGAGGAAAATGCTTCGTAGTGCGACGCTAAATGCCCGATTAAAGGTCATATATCTTTGTAAGTCCGAATACAGTCAGTAGTGTTCAGAAGCTGCCAGTGGGACTGTCGGATCCTGAAAGAGAATGGCTGGTAGTCTTATTTTGTGGGGTGTGAGTGATGCTGGAACAGAATCTCTTTACAACGCGGCACTGGAAGCCGAGGAAGGAATGACAAAATGGCAAGTATATAAGGGAGCAAAGTTTCACCTCCGAGCTTATTCACACTCGGGCCTCACTGTGGACAGGTTGAGAGGCAGGCACGCGGCCTTACGTCACCAAACTTTGTCACCGAGGACAAGGATACTCACTACTAAACTGAATTCGCAAAATAATTAAAGAAAGAAATATGAGGCACTTAAGACTTCATATATACAGAGACAAGTTACAAGAGCATTGGGTTGTCTAGATACATCAGTGCGTGTGGAGGCTTGTGCCTGGGACTGGGTCATGCGCGTATAGCGACGGGTCACCCAGTGTTGACACAGTCCGGGCCGCGGCGCCTCACCTCCTGCCTCACTGGTGTTCTTTCCCCCGTGACCTGCAACAGCCGTGACCTCCTGTGAGCTACCGTGACGTCTTTGGATCCAGCCTCGGTGCCCCCATCCTCCTCGCCCTCCCAACGCCCGCCCTCGCCCATCTCCTGGGCCCAGCCGTCACAGCCACCGCCCGGATTATCACCTGAGGTGGCTACGGCCCCATCAGGTGAGACACACCCGATCCTGGCGCCAGAATTGTCCTCGGTGATCCCCTTGTCCCTGCCGTGGTCTGTGCCAGGTCCCGCCACGCTGCAGCTCCCAGCCGTGTTCTTGTCGGACTCCCGGGGGCCGCCTCGGCCGCTGTCGCCGCCGCCGCCGCCGCTTCCGCCGAGCGCGTCTCCTCCGCCGTCGCCACACGTGCTTCATCACCACGTCTCCCTGGCATCTAGCGCGGTGACACTTTCTTCCTCTGTCTCTGGCAGTATCTCCGTCACCCCCCCATTGTCCACCGCCACCACCTCCAGCACTGTCACCAGGCTTTGTCCCGCTCCAACGCTCGGGGCGGCAGCGAGCCTCGGCGGGCCAACCTTCACCGCCCGTGCCAGCGCCGCCAGAATGGGCACCGGCAGGTCAGGTAAGATTCCTAACATGAGTCCTGCACCTCCACTCCAACACTGGTCTCGTCAGTACCTGTCTCTGGAGATGATGTTTGGTGGCCGCCATTATAATCAGAACATCTCCAGCACACCTGGTAGGTATAATTGTATTAACCTATTAATTATTAATTATGGCCGTCTGTCTATACATCTATGGCTTAACAGTTATATAGTGAAGTGTGGAATATTCGAGTAATGCATCTGAAGAAATATATAAATCCTGTTTATGTAAACTGTGTAATGCGGTGCGAGACTCAACACACAAAAGTTTACTTCCGCAGGTAAACAGCATCAACAGGTAAGACTCTATTAGCAAGTGTAATCTATGGTAATACGCTCCTCCAGAAGGCACCCTTCCCCAGGAGGTAAGAGCGAAGACGTATCGGGGTAATACCTGAGTCGGGAATGACATATACTATACTACTACAGGAGGCCTCACACAACACCTGGGGGAGGAAGTAGTGTGAGGGCATAAGGTGAGGCGGGAGGGCGGCGCCGCTAAGGCAGTAAACATCTCTACAATGATGTACGTGTAATACTTAAGAATATACAGTGCATATAAATCACGCCCTGTCCACCAAACCAAACGCCTAGGACTTATAAACGATGTCGGTGTAGGAGAAACTGTTCTTAGTGTTACCGGCATCAGGGTTGGATGTTCTGCATGATCCTGACGATGACACCGGAATTGTTGATAATTTTTTTAGTATTAATTATACAACAGAGGAAAGGTTTAGTTAAAATGATCAGGTTAGTTACACCAGGTTAACACTAGTATGTGTATATTAAATTATCATTGTCGATATAATATCACACGGGAGCTATGATAACCCTAGAGATATTTTATTTATGTTTTCATAACTCGGTACAGTGCGTCACGCTAACTCGGTACAATACGTCACGCTAACTCGGTACAGTACGTCACGCTAACTCGGTACAGTACGTCACGCTAACTCGGTACAGTACGTCACGCTAACTCGGTACAGTACGTCACGCTAACTCGGTACAGTACGTCACGCTAACTCGGTACAGTACGTCACGGGTACAGTACGTCAATAATCACCTATCAACCAATAAAAATCAACCGACTTTTTGGCCAAATAAGGATAATTTTTTTTCTGTTGATGTAACTTAATTAAGAAGAATAAATTCAAATGAGATAAAATTTATTCTCTAAGTAGGACATTGTAACCTAAATTGTAGGCACATCAGGTTAGGTTAGATTAGGTTAGATTAGGTTAGGTTAATACTGATGATATTTCCTTATAGTTATTGAGACAAAAAATATTGAAACTAACGCTATATTTTAATCTATCTTAAATAAATGATTTATACATAATTATAATCATACAAACATACATACTAAATAGGGATAATCGCATAATTAGTTCTTAATACACAACTGAAGTATTATTATTTATAACTTTAACTTTATACAATTATTTAGTTCATATATTTGCTGTTTCGTTTTACTAACTGTACAGGTAACTAACTGTACAGGTAACTCAATTAACCCAGGTAAAGTTATTAATGGTGTTATTCAGTTACATATAAACACACACGACAAGTTTAGTATTTAGTGGAAAAAATCATAAATTATTGATATTTCGTAACGACACACACACACACACACACACACACACACACACACACTTATTTAGCGATATATTCAAAATAACAACTTTTTTTTTTACACTTTTGACATGACAATCACTTCCACAATCATAATACATATAAATGAATAGCTTCATATCTAACCTAATCTAACTTAACCTAACCTAACCTTACCTAACTTAACCTAACCTAACCTAACCTTACCTAACCTTACCTAACCTAACCTAACCATTCCTATTTGTATTAAGTCGAATTAAATAAAGCTAACATTTTATACCTTGTTTTTAACATTTGTTTTCCATTTACTTTTCTTTATTATTATTTTTTCCATTTAGCGATGATAATAGTAATAGTAATAGTAATAGTAATAATAATAATAATAATAATAATAATAATAATAATAATAATAATAATAATAATAATAATAATAATGGCTCAATGGTAAATCATTCGCCTTTCATATGAAGTGTTCTCGACTCGATTCCCGAACTGTCTGTCTTGAGTCTCCATGCTTCTACACTAACACTTGTACAGTACATTAGCAATTGTGCACTAACACTTGTACAGCCCCTCAAGGTCGAGAAGGAACCCATAGCAGAAAAAAAAACTTGAATATTTTCTTTGTCATTGTCGTAATTCTTATCTATATTTTAAAACCTGTTAAAATTGAATAATGATCCGTACTATACTACAACTACGATGCTAATACTTTGATACTACTCCTACTACTACGAAACTACTATTATTATTATTACTACGATAATACTGCCACTGTTATTACTACGATACTACTACTATTATTATTACTACGATAATACTACCACTGTTATTACTACGATACTAATACTATTATTATTACTACGATAATACTACCACTGTTATTACTACGATACTAATACTATTATTATTACTACGATACTACTGCTACTATTATTATTATAACTACGATACTACTATTATTATTAATACGATGCTACTACTCCTATACTAAGATACTACTACTAATTATTATTATTATTATTATATAAAATATTCATACAGGTTTATAAACGAACAAACATATTTATAAACTATGCAGGTATACAGTGCAGCATGAATATAAACAATATAGGTATACAGTGCAGGTAGACCCTGGGAGGATACCGTTTCCTGTGTGCCGAGACGGTGCTGGTCAACAACAATGGCAAACAGTAAGTCGAGTTGACCAGGGATAGCCGACAAAGCTTCCAGGAGGCTCCTTTGTGGTCGTCTAAACGCTAATAAAGATAATGTATCTCTGTGCTAGTACATACATACATACATACATACATACATACATTGCATACATACATACATACATACATATATACATACATCAGTAATTAAATATGAAGTGCTTCCTCCGATGACCAGAATGCGATGTTTTTTCTCTGGTGTGCGGCCGAGTTCTCTTGCCAGGGAAAACTATGAAACTTCATTGTCCTTAAAGGGTTATAACTTAAACCATCGTTCTGAAAGTTTCATTATATGGAGACCTCACCCCCGCAACCACCACCCCCGACAGTTTGGCACAATGCACGTGTACGCGGGTGTCTCGTTAACTAAAATGGTGTCGACCTTCTTTGACGTCAGCTGATGTCTCTTGTTATGGCCATCTCTCTAATAATATATCCGCCACTACTAACAACACTTTGCTTTATATTTCAATCTACAGTAAACCCGAAATTTGCCTAACCTAACCTAATTTAACTTAACCTAACCTCTTGAGTACAATGATTTATTCCCTCGATCTCATTGTATTGTACTCAAGCGGTTAAATCGTTATGCTAAAATGGTCAATGTTTTTTAAATTATCATTATTATTATCATTACTGTTATTTTATTATTATATTTATCATTACTGTTAATAATAATAATAAATATTATTATTATTATTATTATTATTATTATTATTATTATTATTATTATTATTATTATCAATTATTATTATTATTATCATCAGCGTGTCTGGCAAAAGCGCACTAATAGACAAACTAACTTTAAGAACCAATCAGTAAACAGAAGGCCCTTATAAGCGTGGATTTTCCTTCCTCTGTCTGCCCACACACACACAGAAGAAAAAATCCACGCTAATTTCCACCACACCGTTGAAGGATCTTATGAGACTGGATACTTAAGGCAGCCCAGGAAAGTTGGGAGGGAGGGGGGGTGAAAGGGAGGGAGGAAGGGAGGGAGGGAGGGAGGTGAAGTGCCTCCTCCTCACTTCCCTGCTTCCCTCCCTCAATCATCTTACTAACAATTGTTCTAAGACAACACGTAGGTAACGAACCAACTATGATAATAATAATAATAATAATAATAATAATAATAATAATATCCGTCGTAAAGTTAAATGATATCAATATTTGAACATGAAAGTAATATATTAATAAACGGTGAACAGACAAACAGACAAGGATGTAATAATTATATATACAACACAATAAGAGGAAACGGGGAAGAAAGAGATTACGTAGTACAATATAAGAAATACGTTAATGTATCGCCCTAGTGACAAATATATGCAATTTTCTAATGTAGAATTCTGTAAGTTGAAAAAAAAATAAGCAAGAATAATCAGGTGAGGTGAGGTGAGGTGAGGTGAGGTGAGGTGAGGTGAGGTGAGGTTAGGATTCTTCTTCGTCTCGCTACATGCTGCTGGGAGTGACGCGCGCCTCTCCTCCCTGGTGACAACACTATCCACACGTTCATATGGACTAGACTGGACTTAAGACGATTGGCCAAACGGTGGGCAGATACGGCGAAAAAAAAAAAAACCCTGATGAAATGGTAATATAGTAGTTAATCTATTTATTTTTTTTTCCCGTGGGGTAAAAGAATATAGTTTATACTGTATCAGAATTATTTGGTATGGGAGGATAGATTACGTGGTTTGGTAGTTCTCTTAGTGTGTTTCCTGTACGATAAACAGAGATATATTCTATATATTTTTGAGGAGGGAATATATTTTACGTCTCTTGTGTTGGGTTATGTTTTAAAGTAACGTCATTCGGTGGGCAGAAAAAAAATATCTTTAAATCACTTTGGAGCTGAGAGCGTTTGGTTGGCTGGCGACTGGAGATTTACCCGTGCAGATAATGATCGGCGGCCGCAGCACACACACACACACACACACACAACAGCTACTGAAGCAAAAAAAAAGTCTACAAAATTAAATAAAAATAGGCGAAATTTGGTTCTCTCTTACCACCATGATCAATACAAAATACATCTAGGTTAGGTTAGGTTTGTGTAAGACGTGACTATTATACCTGTTTACAATGACACGACAGCAAAAGGTCAAAGTTGATTCAGGTATTGTACATGCTTACACCTGTTACTGACTCTCCACTACACGATAATCTTCCACTTTCTCTATTCCTCTTTCATAAACTCTTCCTGTTCACACTCACTCTAATCACATTCCATCTTTATGTATTCCTTTATCTTCCTCTCCTCCATC